GCACCGACAGAACAAAAGCACGACACAATGCAATACAAAACACACATACACTGAACATAAAACAATAAAAAAACAGCTGACACTGTGGCACCGATCAACAAAACAATACAAGGGGTAAAAGCAGTTTAAAAGCAGGTAAAAGCAGAAATTAAAATGCTCTGTTTAGGCACCTAACAGCCTGTGGGAAGAAGCTGTTAGCATAGCGAGATGTCTTGCATCTCAGTGACCGATATCTTCTGCCAGAGGGAAGAAGCTGGAACATGGCTTTCCCAGGGTGGCCAGAAGAGTCACCGATGATTTTAAGAGCTTTGTTTAAAAGTGTGGATTTATAAAGAACCTCCAGAACAGGAAGCTCACAGCCCACGGTCCTCTTTGCAGAGCGGAGCACCTTGTTTAAAGCTCTCTTTTCTTTATCTGTGATGTTTCCAAACCACACAGACACAGAACCAACAAGTAAACTCTCAATGGTGCAGCGATAAAAATTAAGCAGAATCTTAGAGTTAGTGGTAACTTCTCTAAGTTTCCGCAAAAAGAAGAGCCGCTGACGAGCTTTCTTAACGACTCGGTCAGTGTTTTTAACCCATTTCAGGTTAGACAGAGTTAGACCCAGAAACTTGCTCCTCTACGATCTGCACCTGGGAGTTGTCAATAACAACAGGAGTGTGAGAACTGCTACGACTGAAGTCAAAGACAAGTTCACATGTTTTTGCAGTGTTCAGCTGGAGATTGTTTACTTTACTCCACTGAAAAACATGTTCGATCTCTGCTCTATAAGAGGATTCATCAGTGTCACTGATGAGACCGATGATGGTGGTGTCATCAGCATATTTGATGATCAAATTTGAGTCAGAGGAGGACACACAATCGTGAGTGTACAAAGTAAAGAGCAGAGGACTCAAAATACATCCCTGAGGAGAACCAGTGCTCACAGAAACAACATCAGAAAAACAGTCATTGATTTTTACTCTCTGAGATCTGTCAGTTAAAAAGCTAAAAATCCATTTACACATGGCAACATTCAGACCAAGGGACATTAGTTTTTTCAACCAACATGCTTGGGACAAGACAATTAAAAGCAGAGCTATAATCAATGAACAGCATTCTCGCGACAGATTTACTAGTGTCCAAGTGACTGTAGACAGAGTTCAGAGCAAAGGAGATGCATCCTCCACACTCCTGTTCTGTCTGTAGCAAACTGGAGCGGGTCAACACTCACAGGGATCTGGCTCTTAATGAAGTCCAGCACGAGCCGCTCAAAAGTCTTCATAAGAACAGACGTGAGAGCCACAGGGCGGTAGTCATTGAGACATGTCACTGGAGACTTCTTAGGAACTGGAATAATGGTGGACCTTTTAAAGCTCACCGGCACCGTACAGCTCCTGAGTGACAAGTTAAAGATGTCCGTTAAAACAGGGGCAAGTTGCTCGGAGCACAGTTTCAGGACGCGGGGAGGAATGCAGTCCGGGCCTGGGGCTTTCCGAGCTGTGGTCCTGGACAAGACCCGCCGTACTTCCTCCTGAGTCACTGTGAAGGCACCCTGACATTCGGGGAAGACAAAAGGCAGGGGATCAGCAGATTCAAAGCGGCAGTAAAAGTCGTTGAGCTCGTTTGGCAGAGTTTGGCCAGCAGCAATTTTCCCTGCACTTGGTTTCCAGGACGTGATGAGACTGATCCCCTTCCACATGCGTCGGGGGTCCTCTTCCCCAAAGAAGCCCTCTAACCTGTCGCCATAGCAACGCTTAGCAGCTTTTATAGAGCGTTCCACAGCGTAGCAGGACAGCTTGTAAGCACCCTCATCACCGGATTGAAACGCCAGTGTCCGCTCATTAATTCTTAATTTGACGTCAGTGTTCATCCAAGGTTTTTGGCCGGAGTGTTCTTTAATAACTTTATAGGGGACACAACAGTCAATGCAAAATTGTATGTATCCTGTCACAGCCTCACAGAATTCATCAACATTCTCAGAGTTAAAAACAGACCAGTCTGTGGCATCAAAGCAGCCCTGCAGCTTCATGTTGACCTCCTCAGACCAGCACTGCACAGTGCGGGAAGTAGGTTTGTGCTGTTTGTTCCTCTGTGTATAAGAAGGCAGAAGGAGAACAGCAGAGTGATCAGACTTCCCAAAAGCAGGTCTGAGACTGGACCTGTAAGCTGCCTTCACGTTACTATAGCAGTGATCCAGGATGTGCGCTCCCCTGGTAGGCTGACTCACATGCTGATAAAAGTTCGGTAATACAGACTTTAAGTTACATTTATTAAAATCACCACCAACTATAATCACAGCATTGGGGTGAGCAGCTTCATGTTTATGCAAAATGTCACTTAAGTCATTCAGTGCAGCTGTACAGTCAGCCCGAGGATGAATATATACAGCACATAAGAAAATCACTGAGAATTCTCGGGGAAGATAGAACGGGCGGCATCTCAAAACCAGACACTCCAGGTTAGCAGAGCATGTTTTGTTTATAATAAAACTGTCAGTGCACCAGCGCTGGTTAATTAAAAGACACACACCTCCGCCTTTCGATTTCCCCGTGCTCTCCTTCTCTCTGTCCGAGCGGAAAATGGCGAATCCCGGCGGCTGAACAGCTGAGTCCGGGATATTCGGATGCAGCCACGTCTCGCTGAGGCAGTACACTGCGCAGTCCCGAGCCTCGCGCTGGTATTGGATTCGGCTCAGGAGATCATCCGACTTGTTCGGGAGAGACTGAACGTTCGCCAGGTAAATAGGTGGCAGTGGGACCCTGGGGGCGCGCGACTCCGCACGAGAAGCCCGCCACGCTTTCCCCGGTGTCTGCGCTTCCTCCGTCGGCGAGAGACACCCGGCTCCGCACGGCGGTGAACACGGGGGAGGCGCCCGGCCTCATCGCCCTGTTCCCTGTCTCTGTCGCGGTCCGCACGCCGCTCTCCTCGAGTTGGCACTCGTCCAAAGCCCTCACACCTAAGAGCAGGCGACACTGACTCACAAGCCAAGTCCCGTAATGTCCAGGAGAGTCTGTCGATCATATGCCACAGTGGCAAGTGTTTTGTGAAAGGATAAAAACAGTGAAAGGATAAAAACAATCACGGTGCACAACGGAGCTCTTGCAGCGGCGCCCTGGCACGGCGCCATCTTTTTTCTCTCTTGAGTCAAGCATAATCAAGCATTTTACCCCGCAATAATCATTCATCAATCAACAATTGCGCGCAAATCCTGGAGGGGCTGCATTAGACAAAGGGGAGAAATAAACTCGTAAATGCAACATGTTGAAGTGAAAAGCAACTTACCACATGACGACGGGGGGAGGAGCCGCTGCTGCTGCTGTTGCTGCTGCTGGACGAGGAGGGAGGGAGGGAGAAGTCTCCGAGGATCCTGGAGTCTCTGAGATTAACTAAAACCTGAAGAACTAGCATCGTGGCATCTAGCTGCTTCATATTTATCCGTTTGATGACTGAACAGGCTCTCAAACAGCGTTAGCTGCGTGAGCTTTTCAGATCCGCGATCCTCTGTGTAAGCATGGCTGCTCCTCTGGCTGTTTGCTGCTCACAGCACCACATGCCCCCTTCTCCCTCCCTGGATCTGGCCATAGTGTCACTTCTGCCCCCTACAGGATCGGTTCCAAAGTGTTTACAGGTCTGAAATGTTGACACAGGATGCACCAGAGCCTTGACGAGCCATAGAAAGAAAAAAACGAAAAAAAAGCGATTGACGTCTATAGACGTCAATGGCAGTGAATGAGTTAAGCACGGAGATTTCACATGTGTACAGATAAAGTGAAAATAACTTTGTTTAAAGCCTACTGCACACCTCTCTATACTGCCAGCTCACTGTTTGTTCTTAATAATGTCCCCACTCTGAATGCTCTGATCAGAAATGTTATTAATCCTCGTAAGTAGCATAAGCTACATGTATCTCTATAGTCAGTCGGTTGTGTTTACATCTAAAACCACAAGAAAAAAATGCATTGCTTTTTTGTGAAATGAAAAAATCTTTACCTTACCTTCAAAATGTCTGAAATTTGTGAATTTTTTAGCTATTAAAACAGTCTATGGGCTGGAAACGAGAGATCACGTTCGCAACAAGTAATCCAATGTGGCAGCGTAATTTGATGCCCACCTTTTTGACAAAACTACCCACAATGGCGTGCGGTCGAGCCGGAAGCTCGGAACTCTTGATGCATGTATAGAGCTGGCGATGGCTGCTGTCTGACCCACGGGTTGTCAGATCACTTGGGAAAAATTAAGCAACCAGGCATGTTGTTAAAAGTGTTCTCATGTCCTGTTCGATACGATATGATTTATACCATGCCTGCTCCTGCAATAAGTTGAATACGCTTATTGAGGGCTTTATTCGGGGGAACTTGATATTTCGTAGGTTGAAATTCTTGTCAATAACGGGTGAGAGCGGAGATCGTGTGGAATAAGGAAGTTATTTTCTTCTTGGAAACCATAAACCTTGTAACCAGTTAGGACCAGAAAACAAGGACAGAGTAGGACCAGGAGAAACCAGACAGAGTAGAAACCAGGAGAAACCAGGACAGAGGAACCAGGAGAAACCAGGACAGGAGTAGGACCAGAGAAACAAGGACAGAGTAGGACCAGGAGAAACCAGGACAGAGTAGGACCGAGAAAACCAGGACAGAGTAGGACCAGAGAACATGGACAGAGTAGGACCAGGAGAAAACCAGGACAGAGTAGGAACCAGGGGGGGGAGAGAACCAGGACAGAGTAGACCGAGAGAAAACAAGGACAGAGTAGACCAGGAGATACAGGACAGAGAGGACCAGGAGAAACCTGGACAGAGTAGGACCAGGAGAAACAAGGACAGAGTAGGACCAGGAGAATCCAGGACAGAGTAGACCATGGAAGAAACCAGGCAGAGTAGGACCAGGAGAAACAAGGACAGAGTTAGACCAAGGAGAAACCAGGACAGAGTAGACCAGGAGAAACAAGGACAAGTAGGACAGACCAGAAGAAACCAGGAGAGACCAGGAGAGACCAGGAGAACCAGACAACCACACCTACCCTCCACTGGGCGACAAAAAGTCTCCATCTTCGTCCTCCGCTAACAAGTTTAAAGGCACTGGGTCCGGTTCAACAATCCTGGGGTCGGGTTCGGTCCCAGAGAAGGTTTCAGTCCCGGGTCCGTTCCCTGTGTCGGGTTCGGTCCCCGGGGGAAAAGATGAAAGTAAAAAGGGAGCTACGGTGACAGTTCTTCCTCTTCCTGTTTGCGGGAGCAAGCTGACTTTCCACGGACCTGTTCTCTGTATGACCGCAAGAGGCCGCGAGAGGGAGGCCAACCACCACACCATCGCCTCATCATTATGAAGACATTCCACCACAATACTTATCCTTTAGATACGGATCCCTTCATTATCCCGGCACATTGTACTGTATGTGAGGGATTATAGGCTGTCGGGTTAGTGGTCTCTAAGTCCAATACCTGTGGTCCCCTATGGTCCAATACCAGGTGGTCTCCCTATGGCCCAATACCATAGGTGGTCCCCTATGGTCCAATACCATGTGGTCTCCCTAATGAGTCCAATACCATTGGACTCTCTATGGTCCCAATACGCATGTGGTCTCTCTATGCCAATACCATGTGTCTCTCTATGGTCCCCAAACGATGGTCTCCCTATGGTCCTATACCATGTGGTCTCCCCTAGGTCCAATACCATGTGGTCTCCCTATGGTCCAATACCAGTGGTATCTCTATGGTCCAATACCATGGGTCCTCTCCCTATGGTCCAATATCATGTGGTCTGTATTGTTTTGTCTCTCTGATCTGTGTGAATTCAATGGTTTTCTGAGAAACTGCTGCGATTAGGACATACAAAATAAAATTGTAAACGTGTAAACGTCAGTTTGTATCGTTAGCATTTTTAGCCTGACCCCTAAAACACAGTGAGGCAGTTTTTAAAAAAATTTATTTACGAAAATCTTATACACAAACTGAAAACAGCTGCTGGGCAAAACACTCTGACCCCTCCTGACCCTTGAGCAGGGTGGTTGCTGCCCCCCCCCCTCGAGCAGGTTGGAGGGGGTGGTTTGCTCCCCCCCCCCCCCCCTCAGAGCAAGGTGGTTTTTGGCCCCCTCAGAGCGGGGTGTGGGGGTACGCCACAGGTGAAGTCGCCAGTCTTAGAGGGGGGGGCTCGTCAGAATGGGGGGGGCTCTTCTCAGAGATCCATTTTTTCTGTGAGCTGAGTGTTGAGCTCCCTCAGCAGTCACGCATGCAACACAAAGACACACATCTTTAACAACCACCACGCCCTGCGCACACACACAACTGTAATGTATTATTGGTATTTATTATGCATTTGTTTTAATATAGCACTTTTGGACACTCAAAGTCTCACATCATTATTCCTCTCACACCATACACGGTGGTGATAAACTACTGTAGCCACAGCTTGCCCTGGGGCACACTGGACAGAAGCGAGGCAACCAGACCTGTGCCATCGGCCCCTCCCCACCACCAACACATTCACACCACACACCAGACTCATACTTGGCAAAGGGGATAAAGTGTCTTGCCTAAGGACACAATGACACAGACATTGGGAATCGATGGTGAAAGCTTGAGGTAGACTCGAAGACAGACGCAAACCCGACAGAAAACAGACAGATAGACAGACACAACCGACAGACAGGCAGAGACAGACAGACACAACCGACCAAGATACAACCGACAGACACACAGACACAACCGACAGACACAACCGACATCCCCAACATACAGATAGACAGACACAAACGACAGACAGAGACAGACAACAGGCAGAGACAGACAGATACAACCGACAGACATATAAAACCGACCAAGATACAACCGACAGACAACACAACAGACACAACGACCAAGATACAACCGACAGACACACTAACAGACACAACCGACAGACACAACCGACAGACACAACAGACAGATAGACAGACCACAACCGGACAGACAGAGACAGACAGACACAACCGACCAAGATACAACCGACAGATAGAACACAACATACACAACGGGGGAGGAACCAGACACAACCGACCAGACACAACAGACAGACAGACAGACAGACACAACCGACAGACACAACAGACAGACAGACCAGACAGACACAACCGCCAGACACAACAGACAGACAGACAGACGACACAACCGCAGACAGGCAGAGACAGACAGATATCAACCGACACAACCGACAGACAGACACAACAGACACAACCGACAGACACAACAGACAACAGACACAACAGAACACAACCTACAGACACAACAGACAGACAGACAGACAGATTAGACAGACCGCAACCGACAGACAGACACAACCGACCGACACAACCGACAGAAACAACCGACAAGACACAACCGACAGACAGGAAAAAACCGACAGACAGACAGACCAGACCACACAACACTCACACACACAGACAGACGCACACACACACAGACAGAACACACCGCACACACACACACAGTCAGACAGACACACTCACACACACACACACAGACACACGCACACACAGCACAGACACACCTGTTTAGGAGGACTCCAGGGTCTTCAGTATTGTGTCCATGTATGAAGGCATGACTTTGTGGTGAAGGTGAGGAGCAGCATCCGCATGTGAGTCTGTGACGTTCTCTTTACTGCAACAGACCAAAACATCAGGTCAGTGTGCTGAGTGTGTGCGTTACGTGTGTCTCTGTGTGTGTGTGTGCGTACCGTGCGTCTCTGTGGTGTGTGCGTTAACGTGTGTCTCTGTGTGTTGGTGTGTGCGAACGTGCGGTCTCTGTGTGTGTGCGTACGTGAGTCTCTGTAAACGAGCGTCTCTGTGTGTGTCTGGTGTGTGTGGTGTCCCTGTATGTGTGTGGTAGCGTACGTGTGTCTCTGTTTGTGTGTGTGCGTACGTGCGTCTCTTTGTGGTGCGACGTGTTGTCTCTGTGTGTGTGTGTAGCGTACGTGGCGTCCTCTGTGTGTGTGCGACGTGTGTCTCTTACGTAGCGTCTCGTGTGTGTCTGTATGTGTGTGTGCGTACGTGTGTCTCTGTACGAGGTCTCTGTGTGTTCTCTGTGTGTGTGTGTCTGTATGTGTGTGTGCGTACGAGTGTCTCTGTACGTGCGTCTCTGTGTGTGTCTGTGTGTGTGTGTCTGTATGTGTGTTGTGCGTTCGTGTTCTCTGTAACTTGCGTCTCTGGTGTGTTCTGTGAGTGTTGTGTCTGTATGTTGTGTGCGTACGTGTGTCTCCTGTACGTGCGTCTCCTGTGTGTGTCTCTGTGTGTGGGTGTCTGATGTGTGTGGTGCGTAACGTGTGTCTCTGTATACGAGGCGTCTCTGTGTGTGTCTCTGTGTGTTTGTGTCTGTATGTGTGTGTGCGTACGTGTGTCCTCTGTAACGTGCGCTCTGTGTGAGTCTCTGGTGTGTGTGTGTCTGTATGAGTGTGTGCGTACGTGTGTCTCCTGTAACGTGCGTCTCTGTGTGTGTCCTCTGTGTGTCTGTATGTGTGTGTTGCGTACGTGTGTTCTCAGTAACTGCGTCTCTGTGTGTGTGCGTGCGGTGTCTCTGTGTGTGTTTGTCTCTAGTGTTGTTTGTGTGTGTGTGTTAAGTTGTGCGTACGTTAGGCCTGTACGCGATAGACAATAAATCATAAATCGCACGATAAATAAAATATGCTCCAATAACTTTTCTGGCCGCGATAAATACCTCATTTGCATGCTGTTGTTTCCCCGTTCTCTCTCGGGTCAAAGAGAGCCCGACAAATGGTCACGGGAACATTAGGCGGTCTAGCAAGCAGACGGAAATTACTCAAAAATACAAAATACAGCCAAAACAGGACGAAACCCGACTTAACCAGAATTGACAATGGTGGGACCAGTAGTTTGAACATATGCCGGCAGCTGAGTTCTCATTCGAGGCTTGATTAGTGACTATACTAGCTCCAGCTCAGCGTTAGCGTGTTCGCCGATGCAGAAGTAACCAGTACCATACCAATAAGAATAAACTTCTGGCGCACGGCCTCCGTGAACACATACTACTGTTGATATAAAGTCTCTAGAAGGTCTCTGAACTCAGAGATGCTGCAGACTAGCATTCTTGGAGTAGAACTTTACACAAAAAACTCCGCTAAGCTTAGCTGTTGAGCATCAAAGCCCTCCCCCCCGCTACTCTCCGGTGGGGCGATACAAACGCAGCAGTGACTTCTGTACCCCCATTGGTGGAGACCAGAGAGAGAGACCAGAGAGAGACCAGAGAGAGAGACCAGAGAGAGACCAGAGAGAGAGACCAGAGAGAGACCAGAGAGAGAGACCAGAGAGAGACCAGAGAGAGACCAGAGAGAGACCAGAGAGAGACCAGAGAGAGACCAGAGAGAGACCAGAGAGAGAGACCAGAGAGAGACCAGAGAGAGACCAGAGAGAGACCAGAGAGAGACCAGAGAGAGACCAGAGAGAGAGACCAGAGAGAGAGACCAGAGAGAGAGACCAGAGAGAGAGACCAGAGAGAGACCAGAGAGAGACCAGAGAGAGAGACCAGAGAGAGACCAGAGAGAGAGACCAGAGAGAGACCAGAGAGAGACCAGAGAGAGAGACCAGAGAGAGACCAGAGAGAGAGACCAGAGAGAGACCAGAGAGAGACCAGAGAGAGACCAGAGAGAGACCAGAGAGAGAGACCAGAGAGAGAGACCAGAGAGAGAGACCAGAGAGAGACCAGAGAGAGACCAGAGAGAGACCAGAGAGAGACCAGAGAGAGAGACCAGAGAGAGAGACCAGAGAGAGAGACCAGAGAGAGACCAGAGAGAGACCAGAGAGAGAGAGACCAGAGAGAGAGACCAGAGAGAGACCAGAGAGAGACCAGAGAGAGAGACCAGAGAGAGACCAGAGAGAGACCAGAGAGAGACCAGAGAGAGAGACCAGAGAGAGACCAGAGAGAGACCAGAGGGAGACCAGAGAGAGACCAGAGAGAGAGACCAGAGAGAGACCAGAGGGAGACCAGAGAGAGACCAGAGAGAGACCAGAGAGAGACCAGAGAGAGAGACCAGAGAGAGACCAGAGAGAGACCAGAGTGAGACCAGAGAGAGAGAGACCAGAGAGAGACCAGAGAGAGACCAGAGAGAGAGACCAGAGAGAGAGACCAGAGAGAGAGACCAGAGAGAGAGACCAGAGAGAGACCAGAGAGAGACCAGAGAGAGACCAGAGAGAGACCAGAGAGAGAGACCAGAGAGAGACCAGAGAGAGAGACCAGAGAGAGAGACCAGAGAGAGAGACCAGAGAGAGAGACCAGAGAGAGAGACCAGAGAGAGAGACCAGAGAGAGAGACCAGAGAGAGAGACCAGAGAGAGAGACCAGAGAGAGACCAGAGAGAGACCAGAGAGAGACCAGAGAGAGACCAGAGAGAGACCAGAGAGAGACCAGAGAGAGACCAGAGAGAGACCAGAGAGAGACCAGAGAGAGAGACCAGAGAGAGAGACCAGAGAGAGACCAGAGAGAGAGACCAGAGAGAGACCAGAGAGAGAGACCAGAGAGAGACCAGAGAGAGAGACCAGAGAGAGACCAGAGAGAGACCAGAGAGAGACCAGAGAGAGACCAGAGAGAGACCAGAGAGAGACCAGAGAGAGAGACCAGAGAGAGAGACCAGAGAGAGGCCAGAGAGAGACCAGAGAGAGAGACCAGAGAGAGACCAGAGGGAGACCAGAGAGAGACCAGAGAGAGACCAGAGAGAGAGACCAGAGAGAGACCAGAGAGAGACCAGAGAGAGACCAGAGAGAGACCAGAGAGAGACCAGAGAGAGACCAGAGAGAGACCAGAGAGAGAGACCAGAGAGAGACCAGAGATAGACCAGAGAGAGACCAGAGAGAGAGACCAGAGAGAGACCAGAGAGAGACCAGAGAGAGACCAGAGAGAGACCAGAGAGAGACCAGAGAGAGAGACCAGAGAGAGAGACCAGAGAGAGACCAGAGAGGATAAAGAACCCCATCCACAGTTACTACAATAGCCAGTTCTCTACAGGCTATTGAGAACTGGGGAATAAAGACTTCTGATCAGGGTCAGAAGAAAAGTTCTGGGCGTCATTTGAAATTGAAAATAGACAATTATTGCCTAATACAACCATGAAAATAAAAAATGTATGGGAAAACTACTACTGATGTAAAGCTATACCGTTAAATTGGTAAATTCTCAAAAATATCCTTTTCCTCGAATTCAAGCATGTTTTGTAAAAGGATTTCATGTTGATTTCTCGATTGCTGTTTTTGAGATTTGTTCACTTGCTCAACCACTAACTGCTTTCGATTGGATCAGCCCTAACATCTGCCTCCACTTTCCAGGTTCGGAGCTGATGCCCAAAGCTCTGTCCACCAGGATCGTGGGGGGGATCTGGTGGTTCTTCACACTCATCATCATCTCCTCCTACACTGCTAACCTGGCTGCCTTCCTCACGGTGGAGAGAATGGACTCCCCCATAGACTCAGCCGACGATCTGGCCAAACAGACCAAGATCGAATACGGCGCAGTGCGGGATGGCTCCACCATGACTTTCTTTAAGGTAGGCCCTATTGCTCTATATTCTATAATATAGTGTGCATTACTTGCTGGACTATAATTCACTACCTTTTTCAACATTGTTTAACTCTGCTGTCTATAAAGCAATGAGGCCAGTGTTTTTATTTAGTTAGAGTGCCCCCTGGGGTGTTGGAAGGAGACTTGCACACAGCTCTATCAGCCGCAAACCTCAAGAGTTGATGACGTTGCACACAGTCCGGCATCATTGTGAAAAGTGAAGCAGAGCATTTGGGCTATTGTTGGAGCAGTTATTATCTAGTTTTAGTAGTAATCTTCTTGTAGAAATAGATTCATCACAAGTCAACAGTACGTTAAAACACCATCATGAAGTCGTGTTGTGTCCAGTTACCTGCGGCATATATGTGAAAAAATGAACATTCTCTGAAAATGTTGCCGGTGCGTTTTATGTAAAGCTGCACTGTATTCTGAAATACTCATGCAGTCTTCAATTCCTTTTACCCTCGTGGCCTCACTTTAGATAAGATGGAAAAAGATGATTATGCACTAATGATGCTGCTGCCTATGGCACAATGACATGATGTGTTTTTGTAGAATAGAAATTAGGTTTTTTGTTTTGTTAAGATTGCTTATTTCAAACCCGCTCCATTTCCACATACATCGACACAAACACAGATGCACAAGGTTTGAAAACTACATTAGATCAAAGTAGACTCGCAAGTACATGTTTAAACTGCTGTCATTCATTGGCAAAGCTGAAGACGGATGAAGCGAGTTGTTGAGGTGAATTCTCTTCTTTTAATTGACAATATAATAACAAATAAGTTAGTACATTCAATGACATGCAATACAATACAATACAATGTATTGTTGTATAGCCCTAGGTCACAACAGAAGTCATCTCAGAGGACTTAACAAAACCATTGAAATCACCAACACAGGTCAGAGAATCAACAGTTAAAACACATGAAGAATATAAAGCACACACAGAAGAAAATGTCCATACATGTTGTAGAATGCTAAAGTGTCCTGATCATCACCAATCCTTTCTGTTGGACACTAACTGTCCAACAAGACCCTCCTGCATCCACAAGGAACAACTCTTAAAAAACCCAGTGGGAAAAAGTGAGAAACCTTGGGGAGAACTAGGGAAACCCACAGGGAGGGAGACCCATTACACCCTCCACAGACAATTACAGACCCAGTTCTGTTTTACCTTTTTTTTCTAAAGTACTTGACCAACAATGTTATTTTATATATTTACCAGTATGGCTTTAGAGAAACATGTCTACTGAAATGGCTCTGGTTTGTTGATAAAATCTAAAAAATATATATATACTGTAGATAATAAAAATATACAATTGGTTTATTTCTAGATTAGTCAAAAGCATTTGGCACAGTTAATTATAATATTCTTTTAACAAAGTTAGAGTGTACTGCTGTTGATGTTTGCAGATGATATCTTTTAATAACTCACTCAAATGTTGACATGTTGATTAGAATTATTAAAGATATCACTGAGTGGGTTAAAGTAAGTCAACTCTCTCTTAATGTACACAAAACAAACATAATTTTTAGAACAAAATACAAAGGAGATAGTCAAGATAATCAATCAATCAATCAATCTTTATTTATAGGGCGCTTTTCCTGCACAGGGCAACACAAAGCGCCTCACAGTCCACACCACACAATGCACAAATCATCACCATTAAAATACAATTAAAAACACATATGTAATTAAAAAGCATTAAAATCACATAAGTAATTTAAAAACATAAGAATCACACAAGTAATTAAAAACAATAAAATAGTTAAAAACAATAAAATAGTTACAACAATAAATAACAAGGTGTGTTAAAAAGATAAAATTCTTTAGTTGTATGCACAGGAAAAAAGAAAAGTCTTTAACATGGATTTGAACATTGACAGAGAGGCAGCCAGTCTCACATCCTCAGGAAGACTGTTCCAGACTTTAGCTGCATAAATCTGAAAAGCAGCCTCCCCCTGTCTAGTCCTGACTCTGGGCACTAACAGGAGTCCCGTCCCTGCGCTCCTCAGAGTCCGGGCTGGTTCATATGGGACTAGCATATCATGGATGTACTTTGGTGCAAGGCCATGGAGAGACTTGTACACCAGGAGAGCTGCTTTAAAGTCTATCCTCTGGGCCACGGGAAGCCAGTGCAGATAATGCACACATTTTAATTGACGGGTATCATAATAACCAAGTTAGTCAAACTACATTTCTAGGTGTCATTGTAGATCAGAAGCTGACTTGGAAGCATCAAACTCAACATGTTTGTCGAAAAAATAATTAAATCTATTGGTGCCTCTTGAATAGAATTTGCTATTTACTAAATACTCCATGTGTGATGACACTATATTACTGTCTAATCTGTCCTCACATTGGCCCTCATTTATGAAACTAGCGTACGGCTAGGGTTAGGGTTAGGGTTAGGGTGACAGTAGCTCAGTTGGTAGAGCATTGGCCCTAAGGCCAGAAGGTCGTGGGTTCAATTCCCACCTCTACACCTTCTCCAGCGACTCCCACTGATGACTGCTGTCGTTGTGTCCTTGGGCAAGACACTTAACCCCACTTTGCCCAAAGCCCCCACTGAAAGATCAAGGCTATGCTCACAGTCAGAGAGCAGCCGTCCTCCTGTGGACTCACCACCTGCAGAGGGTCAGTGAGGGGCTGGTGCTATGAGACTTGGGTGGCATCTCTGACTGCCACCCCCCTGACCCAGAAATGGATTAAAGGGTAGAAAATGAATGGATGGATGGATGGCGTACGGCTAAACCAGGGTGATAATGAGGTGCACGCAAATAAGTGCACTTTTCAGCATTTATCAATCTGGACGTGTGCGCACAGAATATACGCCAAGTCTGGAGGTGGTGTAAATGTGTACGCTCATCTCAACCTTCATCACAACACGCCAAGACACACATGAAACTCAAGATTTGGACAACAATAAACATATTCAGACTCTGGCAAAATTATGAGCTGCGTTTTCATTGAGCTTCAAATTTCGAAATGTGAATTTGCGCATCAGAAAAACTCTGATGGAAACAAGCAAACTTGGACTTAATCACAGATCATGAGGAGGACCCTCTTCTGTTTCTTAGTTTTCAAATCTGACTTGTGTGTGTTATTTTGATCTGTATGTTTTTAAATGTGAAGCGCTTTGTGATCCTGGACTGTGAAAGGCTCTTTACAGATACACTTTACTTACTCACTAACCTAAACTACAGAGATGTGTGACCCATCTATTGCTTTGTAAATCAGTGGCAGGTCCTGCGCTGGCTATTTGTTTTTCCTCATTCACATCTGGCAAAGCAATGTATTTTTTCATTAGTTTTGTGAAAGCCTCAGAACACCCCATAAACCGATGGACTGTGGTCTTCACACTCCAAATGTCTCTGCCCTGTCCACATGTGTAGTTTATAGATCGGATGGCAACGCGCTTATCCGTGGGAACGGGCTCTCTTGGGCAGTGCTCTCTTGGGCAGTGCTCTCTTGGGCAGTGCTCTCTTGGGCAGTCCTCTCTTGGGCAGTGCTCTCTTGGGCAGTGCTCTCTTGGGCAGTGCTCTCTTGGACAGTCCTCTCTTGGACAGTCCTCTCTTGGACAGTCCTCTCTTGGGCAGTGCTCTCTTGGGCAGTGCTCTCTTGGGCAGTCCTCTCTTGGGCAGTGCTCTCTTGGGCAGTGCTCTCTTGGATAGTCCTCTCTTGGGCAGTGCTCTCTTGGGCAGTGCTCTCTTGGGCAGTGCTCTCTTGGGCAGTGCTCTCTTGGGCAGTGCTCTCTTGGGCAGTGCTCTCTTGGGCAGTCCTCTTTTGGGCAGTCCTCTCTTGGGCAGTGCTCTCTTGGGCAGTGCTCTCTTGGGCAGTCCTCTTTTGGGCAGTCCTCTCTTGGGCAGTGCTCTCTTGGGCAGTCCTCTTTTGGGCAGTCCTCTCTCTTGGGCAGTGCTCTCTTGGACAGTCCTCTCTTGGACAGTCCTCTCTTGGGCAGTGCTCTCTTGGGCAGTGCTCTCTTGGACAGTCCTCTCTTGGGCAGTGCTCTCTTGGGCAGTGCTCTCTTGGGCAGTGCTCTCTTGGGCAGTGCTCTCTTGGACAGTCCTCTCTTGGGCAGTGCTCTCTTGGGCAGTGCTCTTTTGGGCAGTCCTCTCTTGGGCAGTGCTCTCTTGGACAGTCCTCTCTTGGACAGTCCTCTCTTGGGCAGTCCTCTCTTGGGCAGTGCTCTCTTGGGCAGTGCTCTCTTGGACAGTCCTCTCTTGGACAGTCCTCTCTTGGACAGTCCTCTCTTGGGCAGTGCTCTCTTGGGCAGTGCTCTCTTGGGCAGTGCTCTCTTGGGTGCTCCTGTGCTCCTGCCGCGTCATTCAGAAGTTTTGAATCCAGAGTTTCTCTGTCAAATCCTGGACCACAACTTCCCAAAAGCTTCTCATCCTCTCTCAGGTGTACAGCGCTCAAGTTTGGCCTGCCTAACAGCAGATATCACAAGGGAATATTTATTCTGGGAACCGTTTATTGGGCTGAGTGTGTATCATATGCGTCTGTGTAGATTCAGATTAAGATTAAGATGATCCTTTATTTGTCCCACAGTGGGGAAATTTCAGTGTTGCATCACAAGCTATAGAACAGTAGGAAAGAGGATGTGTGCAATAATGGGGTGCGTGTGCAGTGACGTTGACTCGAACATTGTGGACTCGTGGTGGATTATGAATATATGCGCTCTGTAGGAATGCAAGCTGTGATGTAGATGAACGTTCTGTGTTTAACCCCTTATGACCCTAACCCCAAAGGACTACAGATGGAAATGAGCCTTTGGCTAAAATCTGGCATGTTTAAATGTTTCTAATGTGTCTGTTCATTGACATGCACTGTCCCTTTCATTTTGTGTGAACAGAAATCCAAGATCTCCACATATGAGAAGATGTGGGCGTTCATGAGCAGCAGGAAGAACACGGCTCTGGTGAAGAACAACCGTGAGGGCATCCAGAGGGTCTTGACCACAGACTACGCTCTTCTCATGGAGTCCACCAGCATCGAATACATCAGCCAGAGGAACTGCAACCTCACCCAGATTGGAGGCCTCATCGACTCCAAAGGCTACGGCGTTGGGACCCCCATCGGTAACCCGTCTCTCTGCCTCTTTTGGATTCATAAAGTCTGCACTTTTATTGATCAATACTGTAGTTATTTTGTTCTATAATGCAACAACTACGTTCAGCAGCACCTACAAGACAGGTGGACATACTGTATCCGTCTATTCTTAAATGAGCATTGTAAACTAATGGACATACGATGCAAAGGGTAACTCTGCGGCAAGTCAGCAGAGAAATAGAGGATCCAGGGCTGTTCAAGGCTGCTTGCCACTTTACACAATTCATTATGCAAACACTTACCAAGATCATGCGCTGAGGACACTAATATTGGAAACCTTTTGCACAAACCGGTCCCTTTTCCCCGTTTGTGTAAATGCTCTGAACTATATTCTAAGTTTTGTAAAAGTATGTTCTGTTCTGTCATATTTTAGGCATACACAAATCTATGGTTTAGGAGCTCTCTGCGATCCAGGTGTTTATATTTAGAAATCGTCTTCATAAAGAAGTGATGCCTTTATTCTCAGCAACCGTCATAGCAACACGTTTGGCCCTGTCACAGAAGAAATGCCTATATAAGAATTTTGGCTACAGCTAGCTTATGTTCAAATCAGCTTCTTCCACATTAAGTCTAAGACTACGGTGACGTCAACACTCAGTCAGTCCACTCCTGATTTACAGACACTGATCTCTCTCTGACCTGCAGGCTCACCGTACAGAGACAAAGTGACCATCGCTATCTTGCAGCTGCAGGAGGAAGGTAAGCTGCACATGATGAAGGAGAAGTGGTGGCGAGGGAACGGCTGCCCAGAGGAGGACAGCAAAGAGGCCAGTGCTTTGGGTGTGGAGAACATCGGAGGCATCTTCATCGTGCTGGCAGCCGGCCTGGTGCTCTCCGTGTTCGTGGCGATCGGCGAGTTCATCTACAAGTCCCGCAAGAACATCGACATCGAGGAGTTGAGCGTGGGCCAGTGCGAGTGGCATCACAAGTATTAACAATTGGAAGGCTTTCACACACTGAGACTCACTCCATTGCGGAGCTCTGCCGGACAAACGGGCTCCAGCTTAATACGACTGAATGTGGCTTCTGCACTGTTACAATCAATAAGGCTTTTTTCCTACTTTTTAGTGTTTAGTTTTGAACTCTTTCTAGTCAGATTTTTTTGAAAAGCTGGTCACAAACATGGCCAATAATCATGATTATAGTTTTGCCCTATATGTGCGTGGACTTGGCGAATGTGGACAAACATTGGATACTGGAAATGGCTGCAGAAAAGACGGATACACACTCTTTTTTGGAATGATACAACTGGCCCCTAGTGGTTCTTCTACACGTCTTTGACCATTTTGGCCTTCTGCCGTTTTATGTTTTTTTTGGAACAAATATTGTAGAGTTACTTTGTGTGTATAATGCCATGATTCTAATGATGGGTAAGTATTTGACCGTGCTTTCAGCTATTTCCGTACTCTTCAAGTGCTCAGTTACTCATATTTATACATCACACAGAACTCAAAAAAGGTCAAAAGTCATTATTTTATATTTAATTATTATTACTTTATTATTTAATTGCTATTGGTTCTCCCCAAGCCCTCTGATTTATGTGGATATGTTTTGTACCAGTTCAAATCCATTGGACATGCATGTAATTGTTTTGTTATTGTCAGATCTGTTTGAGAATGATAAAGTGATGTGGGAACATTACAGCGTTTGCAGTTCTTTTCTTTAGATTGTTGAGTAGAAAAACTATAAAGGTGGTCCATTTGAATATGCCGGCTTTACTGGGCAAAGATCATCTGATTAAATAAAAGACTAATTTATAGACAACAAATAAGATAAGACAAGATGGACTTTATTGATCTCACTGGAGAAATGCACATGTCACATTTGCATGGACAGAATATCTCAGATGGTGCAAAAGAAAGACACGTGTTTAACACAACATGTTAAATGCAGGATATTTTATGTACAATGGATAATATTCATAACATTCATACAGTATATTGTAAGCTTCACTCATAACTGCTTAGTGCTCACATTATTTGTCTGATACTCTCACATCTACTGTCTACTTTGGCCATGCTCAGGAGTAACCTGGCAAAAGCCAGATTGATGATTGTGTAGAACTCTAACGCGTTCTCCGCGATATCAATCTGGGATTTCTCCCGGAGAATCCTTTCGGGGAAAGGAGGGGTAAGCAGCAGAATACTTGAAGCTGATTGGGCGAAGTGACGCTGTGTGCCCGCCTACCAAGGTTGCTGTCCAGAAATGTACAAAGCGCCTCTCGCTGTTCATCTTTCAAAAAAGAAATTGGAGATTCTGCTAAAACTGACTTTGCGTCCGTCCTCCTGCGTAGCCATGTTTGTTTTGCTTCGGCCCGGCACTTCTTGCTTTCGTCAAACCCGGATATCCCGCCCTAAACCCCCAGACTGGCGCGTGATTGGCTCGCACACTCAGTGGTTCGACTCGAAAAGTGTAAGCGGGAGCGGTACAAGATGTATTCTCGAGTGTTTGTGAACTCACAAATACCGCGAGAATTCACCTTGCAGGCAAGGTTAGCTCAGGAGCCCTCTCTGTTCTTTCTTCTGAGCATGTGCCGTCAGAATGCAGCAGCAGCAGTTACTTTTGCTCTTGTGATTTGACCGACAGAGTTTACCAAAGTGTGCCAAAATGAGCTGCAGTAAAACCTCCTCACCCACTGTACAAAAATGGTAAATTACAGACAATCCAGCTGCTGGTTCAGTACCGTTATTACACCTGAGTTCATACATACTGTGATCCTGTCCTCCACTACAGTGTTAGACCATAGACCTTTGGAATGTTGTGATGTCACATGAGCGCTGCCAGTATGTCATTCCTGTCTCACCTGTGATTGGTCAGTACTAGGAGCCTGCTCTGTGCTGTGGCTTCAGCCATGTCAGTGACCTTCTGAAAGCAGTGTCAAGGTGTTCAAATACTGAATTAGACAAAGCCCTTTGTGAGGGAGATTAAAAAAGCAAAAGCTGTTCTAAAGCCATTCAGCAGCAGACACAGCAAGGGTCACCTGTTTGCGTAACAGAATATGGGCCATGCTCCTTCATCTGCGTAGTCCCAGTGCAGCAGCTTTCAGAAACATGAATCTGTCTGTGTTAGAAAGTGATCGCTGAACGTTTGTTTTGTCAAATTATACAACTGAGATGGAGATTCTTAACCTTTTTTGACCGTGTTTTCATTGCTTTCACACTTGAAGTTGTTTTGAAGTGATGCATGTATGTTGGACTCATGTATTTGCTAGACTAGATTTTTTTTATATTCAGATTAGATTTCCAAATACTACAGTATAATAGTGAGCACCGGTGGGATCGATAAGTCTCTTCCAACCAGTTGTATTTAGGGGAAACTGCTGTACTTGAAATGATAATCAAAATCTTCAAATATTGATATTAAGGTTAATGTGGGCCACTGTGGCATGTTATACAGAATTCCAAAGCAAATTCCCCCAAGAGATATATATATATAATAAAAAATTGTCCACTCACCTTTGGCCCTCCGCGGGCGGTTATCCCTCTCTAAGCTCGGGTCCTCTACCAGAGGCCAGGGAGCTTGAGGGTTCTGCGCAGTATCTTTGCTGTTCCTAGCACTGCACATTTCTGGACCGATTATATATATATATATATATATATATATATATATATATATATATATATATATATATATATATATATATATATATATATATATATATTCTGGACATCTCGGTCCAGAAATGTGCAGTGCTAGGAACAGCAAAGATACTGCTGTTATATATATATATATATATTATATATATATATATTTTTTTTTTTTTTTTGTTCTACTAGAATTTAATAGATAAATATGAGTCAATAATTCTTGGTTTTCATTACTCGATGGAATGTTGGGGGTGAGTGCTTTATAAGGGCCAAAAGCATGTGCGTATTTTGAAATGTAGATTTGAAAGTTGTCTGTATCAAGCATGGAGCTATAGTAATAACTGGATAGGGTATTACTATCTTACAGCTGTCCCACCCGAGGGTACAGGGGGCGCCCGTGGTACTGCAGACTAAATTCACGCGGGATTTGAATAAGGCGCCATCTTAGATCACCGGGGCTTGGTATCAGACAAGTATACCCAGCCCTATTTACAATCATATATTTTCAATGATTTCCTTGGAAATTGTGTGCATGTGTGAAAACAATTTCCAAGGAAATCATTGAAAATATATGATTGTATAACACACGATATATATGACACAAACACACACACACACACTTTTGTTTCATCGTGTCCGAAGCTGACAGGCCTCAATCAGTGCGCCCCGTCTGCATGTGTGTAATGAGTGTGTGAGCTGGGGTCGGCCCGTCAGGATTACTGTCCTCTGCTCTAATCCTGTCAATGGGATAGACCCCCTCTCCCTTTCAGCTCGCCCCCAAATTGAAGGCAAAGAAGATGTGGCGGAGTGTAATCAGTTAGCTCACCGGCTTACCGACTTAAGAGGCGGCGAGAAGAGGCCACGGACCTTATGTTGGGATTCATTACATTGTGTTAAGTATTGTGTCTTTGTGCAAAGGCTTATGAGGACCCCCCAGCGCTGTGTGTATGAAGCCAGAGTGTGTCAGCTGTAGTTCTCTATCATTGTGTTTGGTTATAGGATAAGCTGGTTTTATGATTTTAAGATAATGAACAGAATAGGCAAACATATCAACTGTAGCTTGAGCAGAGTGGATCACTGAGTTGACACCTTTACAGAAATCTCAGAATTAGTGTGAATGTAGAATAAGATAAAGAGTTCCATGGTTCGAGTCCAGAGTGGACCCAGTGAGTCCTGTCCCTTTGTCCTTTGACAGTATTTTTCCTTAACTGTGTCCCTCCTCAAAGTGAAAGTGAAGACATGCGTATGTTTTATTAGCATGAAGCCGTTTTCAGCAGTAATCTGCTGCTTCCAGATGTGAGTAATCCTTGTTTACCTCCTGGTTCTAATCCTCCTTTCCCCCAGTCGTTTTGGATGCTGAGTCTTTTTAAATCACCACAACTGGTGGAAGCAAAAGTGCAACAATCGGTCTGCAAGCAGATCGCACACAACTTCGGAAGTCAAGACTCAATCACGATTATTAGATATAAAATGTGTTTGTATTTTTGAATCAAGGATTGCATGTTCTAGTTTTGCGCATAGCAATGCTATAGCAACAATAAAATCCTTCTCTTTAGCTTAGTAAAGAAAGGTATAAAATACTGTATACTCCTCTGAAAGGACTACACACTTGTATGTAAACATCTGTAGATCAATCTGTAATACACTAGTGCAAGAATAATGAGGTAGTTGGTTATTATAGCTTTCAAATGTTCACGGACTCTAGTGACGAATTTACAATTCTGGTGATTGATGGTAACAAGCTGCTTATGTTGCGAGCTCGGAAGCACTTAGCTAGAATCTCACTATATTTTCAATGAGAACCATACAAATAAATAATACCAGCAACGCCACCTTAGATTCTGGCCTAAGGAACCATTAAGAAGTTTATCCCCGCATACCTAGACCACAGGTTCGTTTGGATATGGAGAGAGACAGAGGCAAATCTAACAAAATATAAGTTTATTTAAATAACTGACAAGTTTAATTGATTATTCTAATTAAAACACTCTACATTCACAACACACACACACCCCCATTCATTCTCAGTCACACTGCATGCATTCCAGAACAATACAATCAACAGCCAGATAAACCAAAAAAAGGAAAAGAAACAATTAACTTTTAAAAAGTGTCCCAACTACAGCAGCCGTTGCGTTCAGCCACACTAGGGCCAGAATTTGGTTACCTTGTGGGTAGAGGAATAAAAAGAAGCCCTGGTTGGATTGTCCTTATTTGAGGTGCGTGGAGGATTGGAGGCGCTGGATGGGATACGCGTCCTGCAGTCCCGCGGCCACCACAGACTTATATACATAGTTCCCACATGACGTCACTACATACGGGGATTTGCCGACCCGGCGCCATTTGTG